ACGGACAGGTTGGAAGCTGCTGCTCAGGCAGAGGCAAGGGCTTGCAAAATGGAAAGAGCAGGAGGTCTCTGGGGAGGAAACCTCACTAGAGCCCAACTTGCTTTCTGCCAGATTCTCAAGGGGAACAAAAAACAAAAGGCAGCTGCGAGGAGGGGCAGGAGGAGTCAGTGGCCATGAGCTTTGTCTCTAGGTATTATATTTTAAGGCTGCTGTTTCTTCAAAGGTCAACCAACCAACCTGGGTGAGGTCTACAAACACAGGGAAGAAGAAATAGTCGCAATCAGGGCAGAATTCATCATGCGAAAGGCTGGACTGAATGAATCCCAAACCGGAATTAAGAATTCCGGAAGAAATATCAACATCCTCAGATATGCAGAGGACACAACCTTGATGGCAGAAAGTGAGGAGGAATTAAAGAACCTGTTAGTGAAGGTGAAAGAGGAGAGCGCAAAATATGGTCTGAAGCTCAACATCAAAAAAACGAAGATCCAAACAAGAACCAGGAACCTGCTTTAACCACCTTCCGCACCATTGCAAAGGGGCTCCCAGGGGCTCCCAGTCCTTTGCTAACCTGGCGGTTGTGCCTCGCTGGCTTTTGGGGTGCTCCATACCAAATCAGATGGTGACAGCAGCCACGAAATTAAAAGACGCCTGCTTCTTGGGAGAAAAGCAATGACAGACCTAGACAGCATCTTAAAAAGCAGAGACATCACCTTGCCAACAAAGGTCCGTATAGTTAAAGCTATGGTTTTCCCACTAGTGATGTATGGGAGTGAGAGCTGGACCATAAAGAAGGCTGATCACCCAAGAATTGATGCTTTTGAATTCTGGTGCTGGAGGAGACCCTTGAGAGTCCCATGGACTGCAAGAAGATCAAACCTCTCCATTCTGAAGGAAATCAGCCCTGAGTGCTCACTGGAAGGACAGATCGTGAAGCTGAGGCTCCAAGACTTTGGCCACCTCATGAGAAGAATAGACTCCCTGGAAAAGACCCTGATGTTGGGAAAGATGGAGGGCACAAGGAGAAGGGGACGACAGAGGACGAGATGGTGGGACAGTGTTCTCAAAGCTACCAGCATGAGTTTGACCAAACTGCGGGAGGCAGTGGAAGACAGGAGTGCCTGGCGTGCTCTGGTCCATGGGGTCACGAAGAGTCGGACACGACTAAACAACAACAACAACTGTACGGGGGGGGTATTCCCTCTTCCATAACCCCAGAACTCCTGGACACCCTGCGAAGCAGAGTCTGGGAAGATTCAGGAATGGATAAAAACAAGTCCTTCTTCACACTATGAAACTTGCAGTGACGGCCACCAACTTGGATGGTTTTTAAAAAGGATTAGACAAATTCACAGGCACTTCCTGTATTGGAAGATTGGCAGATAAAGATGGTAGAATATGTGGAGATGGCAAAGCTGACGGGGAAGATCCGGAATTGGCGAGACAAACTGTTTCAAAAGGACTGGAGCAAATTTATATTCTATATGAAAGAAAATTGTAAACATTTGAAAACGTTTGTAGGTTTGAATTGAAATGCTTTGTAATGTGAAAATAAGGAACTGATTTACATATAAGGAGGTATTTTTTATTTAAAAAAGAAGATTTAATGTAAAAAAAGTGGTTACAGAAAGGCGAGAATTTAGTAAAAGATGTCTGGAAGTCAGAAAGAGGGAGGGAAGGAAGTCGGTGCTGTGTCTGAGCAATGCTTCATGTTATAGATTTGTGTAATGAGATGTAATTAAATATGGAAAACTCAATATGGAAACCACAGGGGGGAGAGTTGCTCTTCTGCTTGGATTCAGCTTGCAGATCTCTCACAGAAATCTGGTTGGTCACTGTGACAACAGGATGCTGAATTAGACAGATCCAGCCAGCTCTTGGTGTCTTCTTAGGAGTCCAACAACATCTGTAGAGTCACCGTTTCCACATCGCTCAGAAGGAGCAGGTGGTTTCCTTCACAACAGAAATGAGGAAATCTCATTTTTGCCCTTCAGGTGTTAGTTGGACTACAACTCCCATCATCCCTGGCTGCCTATTGGCCGTGCCAGTTGAGTCTGATGGGATTTGGAGTCCAACAACATCTCTAGAGCAGTGTTTCCCAAACGTGAGTCTCCAGCTGCTTTTGGACCACAATCCTCATCATCCTTGACCACTGGTCTTGCTAGCTAGGGATGATGGGAGTTGTAGTCCAAAAAAAAGTTGGAGACTCAAGTATGGGAAACACTGATCTTATGGGTCTCAGGTTCCCTAGTCCTGCATTTGAAAGCTTCCAGGGCCTGGTTAGAGGAATGGACGTCTCTCCAGGAACAGAAACCACCTAGTTAATCTTCCACACCCTCTTCCTGCTCAATGGAGCGGATTGTTGCTTGTTGTTTTGTGTTCACATAACTGGCTGTAGCCAGACCAGCTGACGTAGCCCCCTTAAACTGTGCCTTCCAAATTGACGTTCCCCTCGGTGTCCATTTCCACACGTGATATTGTTTATTTTATATTTTTATTAAGGATTTTCTTGTTTTACAGAAGTGTAGTGCCTCATATATATTTTTCCCCATGTAACATTTTTACAAATCCGTTTCATTTGTTGAGGCATTAGGGGGAGAAGAAAATAAAAATAAAAATAAAAAAGGAGAGAAAAAAGAAAGGGGGGTGGAGAGAGGGAAGATGGATAAGGGTGGGATTGGGTGGCGGTGTTTCTATTATGTTTAATGTATGTAGAGTTTGGTGTCAGCGTTGCTTGTGTTGTTCACTTGTGTTCCTTTGGTGGTGAGAGAGGTTGGGGTTGGCCTAGGGTGTGATTGTTTGCTTGTGATTGGCTGTGGTGATCTTTGTTTTCGTGTGTGAGTGAGGTGGGTGGGTGTTTTGGATCAGGTTAGCCATATTGATTTGTATGCTGTTGGTGGATTATTGTCATTGTCCTGTTGGGCTGTGTGTGTGATAAAGGGGAGGCGTCTTCTTCTGTTTGTCCCCGTGTCAGTTTCAGTTTATTAGTTAATTTTTCTAGTAGGGCTGTTATTTTTAGTGCAGCGCTACGAATTACTCACGATGGACTAGAAGCCTGAAAGCCAGCTCCGATCCACTTCAGTCTTGCTTTTGAAACCGCTTCCCTTCCGCTACGCTATGGTTTCCTGGGGCCTTCTTTGGGCTCACGCTCATTCAGCTGAACTGCTTCTCTCCAGAAAGCAACCTAGAACACACATTCCCCTTTCCCTAACACCCCAAAAGCCGCCTGCTGACTACTGCTTCTCAGGTAGTCGGGGGCCCTGGGCAACCTTTCACAAGGCTGAAGGCATCAGCCGTTTGCATGTGTCCTCCTCCAGTCCACTTCGATGGAGCCATAAAGGAGGACCCATGAAATAACAGGACAGAGATGAGCATAGTCTTGGTCAGTGTTTCCCAACCACTGTTGCCTGGTGTGCCGTGGGGAAAATTCGAAAGATTTTTTTTTTTTTTGTAAAAGTCAAATTAGGTCCTAATCTATCCCTCGAGCGCCTCTTGTCCGTTATTGTGACGCATGAAGCGTGTTCCCGCCCACTCCCCGCCCTCCCTTGCTTCTCTCTCTCTCTCTGTGGCGTTCTCCGCCACTTCCTGCTGGGCATGCGCAGCTCGCCTCGCGCTTCCATTCCGGCCCCTCCTTCCCCCGACTACCCCGCCGCTCCGTTCCTTTCTCTTTCTCGCGTGTCAGAGAGCGGCGGCGTGAGCGCGGCGGTTCCCTCAGGGCTGACGGAGGGCTCGAGGAGGAGGAGGCAGGACGTGGAGGCGGAGAAAGCGGCGGCGGCCACCCCCCACCTCCAGCTCGAGGCCCGCGTAGAAAGCTGAGGGGGAGAGATAGATAGAGGTGGGCGGCGGCGGCGGCGACCACGACCAACCGCCACAGTAGTTGTAGCGGTGGCGACGGCGAGCAGGGACTCCCGCTCTCTCTCCGTCGTGTCTCTCTCTCTCTCTCTCTCTCTCTCTCTCTCTCTCTCTCTCTCTCTCTCTCTCCCGGGCCCGTCCGTTGAGTCTCCCGCGCGCCTCGGCTACAAGATGAGCATCGAGATCCCACCGGGTCTGACTGAGCTGCTGCAGGGCTACACGGTGGAGGTGCTGCGGCACCGGCCGCCGGACCTGCTGGCCTTCGCCGCCGAGTACTTCGCCAAGCCGCGCTCTCCTTCCTGCCTCGCTTTGCTGCCTCCTCCCCCCCACCCCCAAAGCTTGGAGGTTCCCCGGCGCCGACCCGCAGGTTTGACCCCCTTCTCACACCTGTTCGCGCTCCTTGCACGGAATGGGGCGGATGGGGAGGAATGGGGCTCGCCGCTGCCTCCGCTCGCCCTCCCCCCCTCCGCCGGCGGTCCCGCGATTCTTGGCTTTTTGGCGGTTGGCACAGAAGGAAGGCAAGGGGGAGGGGAAAAAATTGAATCTTACACTTTCGTGCGTCCCTCCCAGCGTGACGCTGCGCGCTGACGTCACGGGGCTGTAATGGTGGTGTGCCTCAAGATTTTTTTCATGAAACAAGTGTGCCTTTGCCCAAAAAAGGTTGGGAAACACTGGTCTTGGTAATGTTCCAAGTGATAGCGAACACATGTGGGGTGCATTTACACCAGGCAAAGTGGATTTAAGCTCCAGGTGTAAGAAAAGACCTGATACTATTTCTGCAGAACCTGTCTCCAGCATCTTAGAGCTGCCCGGTCAGCATAAAAGGAGAGCTTTTTATCCACTGAGAAGACATCTTCTCACCCTCTGTGCTGACCGGAGACAAGCAAAGGGAAAGGACGTGAGTCGGCCACTGAGGATGGGCTCCTGGGGGTCAATCTGGAGAAGGACCAAGAAAGAATGATTCTGCATGCTGCAAAACTAAGCATTTAGGAGCACTGAAAACATAAGGTGCTCCAGCTTCAGAAAAACAACAACACCGCTTGCTTGGAATTTCTGCTACTTGGAACGGAACTTCACAGAAAACGCAACGAAAGATGTTATTGGAGCCGTCCAAAATATTTACGTGCACAGAAAATAGCAGATCTGGCTGAAAGGCAAAACAACAGTGATCTGCATTGATCGCTGCAATGCATCTCTATTTATTCTTATTCTTGTTATCATTATAATATCATCGTATATTCTTAGAAGGTTGCATAATCTCAGAAGGGGTGAGTGGCTGCAACTATCACAAAGGGAACTCTGCGCTTCCGAATTTGACACTACACGACTGCAGGTGACGGGCCGCAGAAGCCTTTGGCCGGCAGTTCCCAAGGCAACGGGCGGCATACCGCTAACGAGGTTGGGCTGCCTTACCAGAAGCATCCGCCGCAGGGGAAAGGGGGGGGGTGTCCCATGACAGCATTGATCCCAGCACCGTCATCATCAGGGTTGTGACCTCAGGGCCAAGCGAGACGTGGCGTTTGTCGTGCACTTTGACACCACGCTGCTGTCATGGCGAAAGAAAACTCAACAGCTGGCAAGGGGAGGGCCTTGATGCACTGGGAGCATGGGGGGGGGCGCAAAGGGACCCCACACACCGTGGTTCCAAAAAGAATCAGCACCCCATGTTCTTGCTATTCACAACGGGAAGAAAATCTCAGCGCTATTTCTCTAGAGAAAGAGGCACTGGAACTCACCGCGAATGCCTCCCTTGTTCTATTATAATGGCAATGGCGACACGGGAGAGGCGAGTTCCAGCTGGGGGGAAAGCCCCAGAAAAACCCCACGTAGCAATGGGTTGTCTGTGTCTTTAAATAAGCCGCTCTGCAATGGAGGCTGACATGCTTAGAAGGCTAAACCTTAGGATATGTTGGAAGCACAAGAGGTCACTAGGAGCACAAGCAGCAGAGGGGATGCTTAACCCTTCCCCTTCCTCCCGTTTGTCTACTCAAAATCATCATAACACACACACCCTGCTGTTTTTCCCTTGTCAAGGAAAAAGATGCAGGGGTCCTGTATTTTTTCCTCCACAGGTGAAAAAGCAGCTGGAGGGAGGGAAGGGGGGGAACCAGCAGAAAGGAAACGGGTTAAGCATTTCCCCCTGCCATTCTCTGCTCCCAGCTTGCCAGATTTGGGGAAGGAGCGTAGCTCAGCGGCAGAAAATCTGCTTTATATGCAGCAAGTCCCAGGTTCAAGACCTGCTGCCAGCCAGTGGAGACAGCATCAATCGGTCCTTTGTTCAGATCCTTGAGGACTAGGACCTTATCATTATTTTTTAAGGGATATGTGGACGAGAACCTGCTTTGCCTGCAATAGATCCCAGAACACAAGTTCTGGGATGGGGAAAGCTGCCCATCTGAAACCCTGGAGAGCTGTTTCCCTTTCTCCTAACTGCAGCCTCCGAAACTGCTTTGCAGTTTACAAAAGTGGGGGGCCCTCAGTGTGTCTCCCACATAAACGTCTAGTATGGGCCTTCGGTGTATCTTAATCCACATATCATTGTGTCGTACTCTACCTAGTTCCTACCTGAACAATGGGGGTGGGATCTGCTTTGGGGCGGCACTTCATCAATTAAACAGAGCACCTAATTTTGGAAACTGCGAACTCCAGCTCAGGTAACGCAACGTATTCAGAAGTTGCTCCCCAGCGAGAGAGAGAGAAAGGAGTTATCTGGGTTGAAGCTTGCCCTCTCCAGGGACTCACACCAGAAGGACGGCAGCACGGCTGCCAGCAGATGGAATAAAAACACCCAACAAACGTCCTTTGTCTTTTGGGTCCACGCCTTTGCCTGCTGCGCATTCGGAACGGCGTGCCATGCGTGGAAAATGAACGTGCGCGACCGTACAGAGATACATATATTTTAAAAATAACAATATTTGTGTGTTACACTTGGGCTGCAGCATGCTGTTATCGGTGTGTGTGTGTGTTTTCCTCTTATAGGGGCAGGTTGTGTAAAAGCACCGCTGCCCCGTGATCGAGAGGAAGGTGGCTGGCCTCCGTGGCGGCACAGCAGAAACGCTTACGCACCTCCCTCGGCGACAAGAAAGAAGGGAAACAGAGGGGGGAGAAGGAAATAAAAGTCACGGGAGGGCAGGAAACGAGGCACCGCAGTCTGGTTCAGAATTCATCTTCAGAGCTGTCCGCTAGAAGCATCACTCGGTCTTGCATGCTGTTGAATTCTCTCTGCTGTGGTGGGGAGAGAGAGAGAGAGAGAGAGGCAGGGGAAGACATCAGTGACAAGGAACCTTCTTTCGTTTGCTTGTTCCCCTCCCCTCCTCCAAACTCCCTGCCTGGTACGTTGGCACATTTAAAAGGGGTGGGTAGGTCAGAAACAGGGACGCAGGTGGCGCCGTGGGTTAAACCACAGAGCCTAGGACTTGCTGATCAGAAGGTTGGCGGTTCGAATCCCCGCGACGGGGTGAGCTCCCGTTGCTCTGTCTCAGCTCCTGCCAACCTAACAGTTCGAAAGCACGTCAAAGTGCAAGTAGATAAATAGGTACTGCTCTGGCGGGACGGTAAACAGAGTTTCCATGCACTGCTCTGGTTCACCAGAAGCAGCTTAGTCATGCTGGCTACATGACCCGGAAGCTGTACGCCGGCTCCCTTGGCCAATAAAGCGAGATGAGCGCCGCAACCCCAGAGTCGGTCACGACTGGACCTAATAGGCAGGGGTCCCTTTTACCTTTTTTAGGTCAGAAACAGTTTCCGAGCACAATTCAAAGTGTTGGTGCTGACCTTTAAAGCCCTAAACGGCCTCGGTCCAGTATACCTGAAGGAGCGTCTCCACCCCCATCGTTCAGTCCGGACACTGAGGTCCAGCACTGGGGGCCTTCTGGCGGTTCCCTCACTGCGAGAAGCCAAGTTACAGGGAACCAGACAGAGGGCCTTCTCGGTGGTGGCGCCTACCCTGTGGAACGCCCTCCCACCAGATGTCAAGGAAATAAGCAGCTATCTTATCTTTAAAAGGCATCTGAAGGCAGCCCTGTTTAGGGAAGTTTTTAGTATTTAATGCTGTATTGTTTTTAACACTCAATTGGGAGCCACCCAGAGTGGCTGGGAAGGTCAGCCAGATGGGCGGGGTATAAATAATAATAAATGGTTATTGATATTGTTATTGTTATTAGGATCGGACAGGACTGCTAGGGAGCCAAAGAAGATGGACTTTGGTCCTTCGGGGAGATCTGTGATGAAACCTGAAGCAGAAGTCCCAGCTTGGCCCCATGTCTTGGGTGCCACGCAGTGTGCATGGCCCTGGCACAGAAATTACAAAGGCTGAGCAGCCGGGGGAGGGAGGGCATTGGGAGCCTACCTTTCGCTTATGCCTCTTGAAGCCGTTCCTTCGCCGGCGGTTCATGATCTTGATGCTGTAGAGAGCGCCCAAGATGAAAAGGGCCCCCGCAATGCCAACTCCGACGGGCACCAGCATCCCAGACATGTAACCAGCCTGCAGAAGAGGGGAGGGGAAAGAGGCCACTTCAGTGTTATAGGAATTCTAAGGTCTTGTTGTTGTTGTTTAGTCGTTTAGTCGTGTCCGACTCTTTGTGACCCCATGGACCAGAGCACGCCAGGCACCTCTGTCCTCCGCTCCCTCCCGCAGTTTGGTCAAACTCATGCTGGTAACCTCGAAAACACTATCCAACCATCTCGTCCTCTGTCGCCCCCTTCTCCTTGTGCCCTCCATCTTTCCCAGCATCAGTGTCTTCTTCTTCCCCTTCATGGATCACTGCCTTGCCGTGGCGAAGGGGCTTGAAGAACTCAGAGAAGCTATGAACTACGCCGAGCAAGGCACACAAGATGAACAGGTCATAGTGGAGAGTTTTGACCAAACGTGATCCACCTGGAGGAGGAACCGGCAAGCCACTCCAGTATCCTTGCCAAGAAAACTCCATGGACAAAGACAACAGGCATATAAAAGGTCTTATATATATATAAGAAATGTTCACAAATGTACAAGGCAAACACAGACCTAAGTACATAAACCACGTGTCTGAAATAGTACAGGAGAGCAATCCTGAAGCCGTTTTGACTCTCCCAAATTGACCTCAAATATTTCTCTGCAAGGAGGAAGGAAATGGGAAAAGCTTTCCAATTGTCTTTGGACTGTAGGGGCTTACACCTCCCTGTAAATACAGTCTGGCAAGTGTCTGTTAAGCCAGGGGTCAGCAAACTTTTTAGGAGGGGGCCGGTTCACCGTGCCTCAGACCTTGTGGCGGCCGGACTGCATGCGCAGGAGCGCACATGCGCCGGAGGGGGGCTTCTCTCTCCCCCAGAGATTCTCCGAGGACTGGAAGAAATTTACAGAGTATATCAAAAATTTCTGTGATGAGCAAATAATGTTCGTTGGCTTTCAAGAAGCTCTGTGAAATTACTGTTAGAAATATTGTTTAAAAAATACGATGTGATTAAGAGTATTTGAGTGCAATATAATATTGGGAAATGTGAGACGAGGATAAAAAATAAACGGAAAATTATCAGACAAGCTGAGGGAAGTTCTGGTAAAAAGGGTTCAAGTTAAAAATGGATGTATAATTTTGTAAAAAAAAATTTTTATGGAAAATGTAATAAAATTTTTTTTATTATTTTTTTTTAAAAAAGACCTTGTGGCGGCCGGACTGCATGCGCCGGAGGGGGGCTTCTCTCTCCCCCAGCCCCTCACCTCACTTCCCTTCCCTACCTCCTCCACCGCTGGTTGGGAACTGGAGGTGGTGGCAGCTTTCCCGGGCGCCAGGCGTGGGGCCAGCAGGCGTGCCCAGCTCCAGCTGAAGCCCCACAACGCTGCCATCACGATGCCCACCCGTCACGATGCCCACAGCGCGGCCATGGGCGGAGAGGCTGGGGGGTGGGGGGCAGGTCTGGGCAAGTGGGCAGCGAGGCTTCGGATTGGCCCAAGTGGCGATTCCAGGACTGTCCGTGGGCCGGATCCAGAGGGCACTTGGGTGTGATCTGGCCCGCAAACCTTAGTTTGCCGAGCCCCTGTGTTAAGCTGAGCACACTATCAATATGCGTAAGAGATTCAGGAACTAAGTATTTACCATCTCAAATGAATGGCCAGGCTACCCAGAAAAGGCAATCAGATATCCTGGCAGACAGGAGAGAAGCAACACACTCAAATTTCTGCTGGGGACCACCTCTTTCTGTGATGGATGTATGGTGTTTTGGGGGGTGGTCTTGAGCTACAGGGGAGACAGTTTCAAATGTCTATATAAAAGCTTGGACACCATTGTTCTAGGTTCCTCTCCTCCCTCCCTGCGTGGGGAGAATGGGGGACCGTGTTGCAACAGTTTAATAAAGATCAGGCTTACTGATCTAGTCCAAAACCCTGTTCTCAGAGTGGCCAACCAGACAGATGCTCCTGGGAAGGCCTAAAACGGAACGTGAGCTCAATAGCACCCTTCCCTGCTGCTGTTTCCAGCAACCGCTATTCAGAGGTGCTGCTGCCTCTGAAAGTGATGAATGGGATCGTGGATGTCCAAGCAAGAATGGAGAACAAAAATGGCAAGTCTAGGATGTCACCACATGGGAACGCTGCTCAGACTAGGAAGCTGTTTTGGTGGTGGTGGTTGTGAAACCAGGAGTAGCCCGGAGATGAGTAACACGCCAAGAGGATGGAAATTGAGGGACAACCAACATTGAAGATCTTAGCACGATGTTGAAGCCCTCCCATAAATACCCCACAATCAATACCGGTTCGAACACAACAGATGGCGTGTTGCCAAAATGAAGTGCAAATCAGCCCTTGGCCTGGGGATGGGGAAACTGTGGTCCTCCAGGTGTTGATGGACTCCAAATCCCAGAATTCCCAGCTGTTGGCAGTGGCTGATGGGACTTGGGGCCTTAGCAGCAGTAGAAGGACCACAAACGTTCTCCATTTTGGCTAGCGGTGATCAGCATGGATGTCTTTCGGGTTACTCTGATCAGTTGTGATCAGCATGGGGAGCAGCTGACTTGAGGACCGGCACGGTCAAAATTCTCTGGTTCTCAGAGAGGAGGATCAAATCCAGAGACTCTCAGAAAGCAGCTGCTATGGAAGCATGGTTGTGAGCTGCGTGTGTTGAGAACCAGGAAGGAGACTGAAAGTGGTCCAATCCGGATGCAACAAGATGGAGGTCAACAAGCTTAGGAGGTCCAGTGACCAGCCAAGCATTCAGTGCTTCCAATTTTCTGCAAACAGCAGAAGGTCATCACTACCATCCTTCAAACCTATGTCAGGATCTGGTCTCCAAGAACTCAGGCCAATGTAAGTTTCAATAGCTGATGAAGGTGACTACATTGAAAGAGGGCCCTGTCCTGGTTTCTGATCCATAATCGACCTCTGACTTTGCTCAATGATTGAAACTAAGACCTCCACGTCGAATCTGACTATGGACTAACATGAACGTATCTGTCAGGGGTTCAGGAGCAGAGGCAAGGGCAAGGGAGGAAACAGAGAGCGAGGGGGAGGAGGCAGAAGAAAAGATGAGTGATGACGACGACCCGAGATCTCCGAGTCTTTCCAGTGAATCAGAAGATTCACAGAAAGGAGCACCAGTGGCCAGGGCAAGGGGGGAGACTAGGGGGACACCCCAGGAAGATAGAGCCAGAGGGGACTCAGAGGAGAGCAGTTGGAAATCGGGACCAGCGTCACCGCCAGAGAGCAGGGAAGAGGAAGGGCGCCAGGGATCAAGCGCTGGCAGCTCACAACAGGAGGGAGAGCACGAGTCAGGAGTGGCCACACCTCCATCGGGGAGCGAAGAAACGGTTAGACGGAAGGTGGAAGGTTGGGCGCTCGCGCCAAGTTCAAATGCACAGGAAGGTGGCGCAGTAGGCAGCCCGGAAAGGGAGCCAGGTCCTAAAGCCCGGCGCAAGGAGACAGGAGGGTCCGGGGGGTCAGCGTCAGAAGAGTCCAGGAAGGAAGAGACCACGGGGGGCAGAGGGACCCAGAGAAGAACAGTCAGGCGGAAAAGGTGGGACAGGGCTAGGATATTAAGTTGGTGTACAGGGGGCGGAGACTCAGACGGAGCTTCGCCGGTCTAGCCATAAGACGTAGAGTTGCACGCAGCAGCTTGAGAATGGAAACTGTAACTCAATAAAGGACTTTTACAAGTGACCGCTGGCTAGCGTGATCCTCTGTGAGCTAGGATCTGGAAGCAGCTCTGACAGTATCTCTACTCATAAACTCTTATCTCTGATTCTGTAATGAATTATGATGTTACACATATCTCTATGAGTTTGAGTTTGTAATCTCTGTTAGAGTTTGTAATCTCTATTTGAGTTTGTAATCCTTGTCAGAATACATACTTTTGTTTTTTATATAATTTTTTTTAGTAATTTTAACATAGAAATTATAATACCACAAAACTTCATCACTTATACAATTTTTTATTTTATTTTTTGGACTTCCATCAGCACCTCTGATGATCCACCATTTTAACCACTTCTTATGCATTTCTTAAATTCATATTGCCTTCAATTATCCTAACTAACCATCCTCCCCTTCATCCATTTTTGCAATAGTTCCAATAATTCACCTCACAAAACTTCTTGCAAACCTACAAACGTAGTCTGATCATTACAATTACTTTTCAAATAGTCTGTAAATTTACACCAGTCTTCTGTGAATTTCTGGTCCCGCAGATGTTGAATTCTTCCTGTTAGTTTATCTAATTCTGCATAGTCCATTAATTTCATCCTCGTCAGTAACTCTTCTTGCTTCCATTTTTGTGCCAATAATATTCTTGCTGCCGCAGAATACATACTTTTGAATGGGTTAGTTTTTGACAATTGACTATTGATTTGTGAGTAGGGACTACTCCCACTATTGAAACTTACATTGGCCTGAGTTCTTGGTTTGCTTTCTTCATGATCTGCTCTCCAGCTGCCCATCCAGAAGGACCCCCTGAACCAGAAACCACAAATTTCACCCTTTGGGAACCCTGGTTTCTGAAAGCAAAAGACAGCACCTGCCTTCAAACGCAAAGCGAGACAAAGGAAGATCTCCCTACCTTATCTTTCAGCTTTTCCATCCAGCTTCTCACTAGAAAAACAATGACATAAACGTTAGTGGCAGTCATAAACCTTAGAACAGCACTGTAGCAGCAGCAGCAGGGCGTGAGATCGAAAAGCAGCTTTGTTAAAAGTTACTGCAGTTTGCATAGTGGGGATTACACATATCTAGATTCAAGGAATGTAGGGAGAGGAGGTCAAGGGGTCCCCTGCCCTCACTGCCAAGCTCCCCTGCAGCCACGCTCCCTGCACATCATAGGCATGCACGCAGAGTTCCTTCTTGCATTAATTTATTCCATGAAAGTTTCTTCTCTACAGTCATACCTCATGTTACGTTTGCTTCAGGTTGCGTTCTTTTAGGTTGCGTCCCACGGCGACCCGGAAGTACCGGAAAGGGTTACTTCCAGGTTTCGCCGCTCAGAAGCGCAAAATGACGTCACACGCATGCGCAGAAGGGCCGAATCGCGAAGACCAGTGCAAAAGGGAGAAAACCATTTTCTCTCCCAAGCAGCAACAGATGTGGGGGGCTTTGAACCACGATTTGTCTCACCTGCCAGCTTAGCAACGTCTTTCCTGGTGGCACTTACAAACCATCTGTGCTACTTTCCAAGCGATCAAAGCGACGGAACGGAGGGAGTTCCTTTCGCTAAGCCTACACGGAAGATAAAGCAAGGCTCCCCTTAGGAACTCACGCTGTGATCGCATAAATGAAAGGCTGTCCTTTCCGGGGAAGAATCAATGAGCTTCTATCCGGCAAGAGGCTTTGATCAAGGGGCAGGTGTTGATATCAGAGATGATTCTCTCACACACACACACACACACACACACACACACGGTGCTACTATGTAGTTTATTTGACAGATGTGGGCATGAAAAGCATCTCACCTGAAGTCAGGTGACATTACAGGTAAAGGTAAAGGACCCCTGGACAGTTAAAGGTAAAGGGACCCCTGACCGTTAGGTCCAGTCATGGCCAACTCTGGGGTTGCGGCGCTCATCTCGCTTTATTGGCTGAGGGAGCCGGCATACAGCTTCCGGGTCATGTGGCCAGCATGAGTAAGCCACTTCTGGCGAACCAGAGCAGCCCACGGAAACGCTGTTTAGCTTCCCGCCGGAGTATTACCTATTTATCTACTTGCACTTTGTGCTTTCGAACTGCTAGGTTGGCAGGAGCAGGGACCGAGCAACGGGAACTCACCCCATCACGGGGATTCAAACCACTGACCTCCTGATCAGCAAGCCCAAGAGGCTCAGTCGGCCTTGGCATTATATATACCTTGGCTACTGAAACTTCACACACAAACCCCACTGCTGACACAGTGATGTTTGACTGTGTTTGACGTTGCTTTAAGCTGCCCAGAGTGGCTGCGGGCAACCCAGTCAGATGGGCGGCATCAACTCAAGTAGTTGGAAGGGACCCTGAGGATCATCTTTAAAGCCCTAAACGGCCTTGGCCCAGTATCCCTGAAGGAGCGTCTCTACCCCTATCGTCCAGCCCAGACACTGAGGTCCAGCTCCAAGGGCCTTCTCACAGTGAGGGAACAGCCAGAAGGCCCTCGGCACTGGACCTCAGTGTCCGGGCTGAACGATGGGGGTGGAGACGCTCCTTCAGATATACTGGACCGAGGCAGTTTAGGGCTTTAAAGGTCAGCACCAACACTTTGAACTGTGCTTGGAAACGTACTGGGGGCCAATGCAGATCTCTCAGAACCGGTGTTATGTGGTCTTGGCGGCCACTCCCAGTCACCAGTCTAGCTGCCGCATTCTGGATTAGTTGCAGTTTCCGGGTCACCTTCAAAGGTAGCCCCACGTAGAGCGCGTTGCGGTAGTCCAAGCGGGAGATAACCAGAGCATGCACCACCCAGGCGAGACAGTCCGCGGGCAGGGAGGGTCTCAGCCTGCGTACCAGATGGAGCTGATAGACAGCTGCCCTGGACACAGGGCTAACACAACAGAGTCTCATTCTGACAACGGAGGTTAACACCCTCCTCTAACTCAGACTCATTTTCTTGCTTTCGGTCTCCTTGTCTGCTAAAAGGAAAATTGGCAGGGACCTGTCTTGCCAAGTCAAAATAAAAGATCTGGGTACCTAGGGCAGGGATAGATTTTCTATATTTCTAAGCATGAGAAAGTAAGGGAAACGAAATATGAAGCTATCCTCCCAGCTCCAGAGATTGCACAGGTCAAAATCTAATAATTTGTTGAATTGTGTACACGGAATATTAATAGGGGGTTTTTTTCAATGAAGACGAGTGTCTTTAATTATACGTGTAGCTATAGGAACAAGTTTTGTCTTTTTCAACTGGAAGTCCCTCTTCGGCACATAATTTTTCTTGTGTAACTTAATTAATTGCCAATAATGCTTTCTCTTTTTTTGGAAAATAATCAAATGAAAGAATAGAACGCAGGCTACAAAATATTTGCAATTCCTATAAACACCTATGAGCCCTGGCGGCTTTCATTAGGTGTGACTCAGCTCTCGAGCATCCATTTTCCAATAGGGCAGTCAACTGACAAAATCATTTTTAGTGTATTAGTCACTGCCTTTCTCCAATTAATCAATTTAATTGAAATCAGTTTCCTTATTATTCAATACCCCAAGCAGGTGCCCTTTCTAAGAGAGGAATTGTGAAAAAACTTTAGATTTAATCAACAAAAGCCATCATTCGCTGTTAGACAGAAAGATCCCTTATTAATATTACTTTCTCTTCTCTCTGCTTTTTTATTCTTTCCCCTTGATCAGTTCGGTGCAGTGTTACTGTTTGAGCCATTAGCCATAAACAACAAGATTTTCACAGTGTGAAATCTTGGCTAGGCACCAGCCAGTCGCTGATTTTAAAAACACCCGAATGCTAAAGTCCTAATTTACAACACGATCGTGAACAAAACTGAATTTTGCTAGAGGCAGAACAAACAAAGCCACATGACAAGCTACCTCGATGTTTACTGTTAGCAAACTTTCTTAAATCTTTTTTTTTTTAAGGTAGACCAGTATTCACAGTTATTCAGCGCCCCAAGTTTCCCCCGTAAAAACCTGCTCTTTAGCATTCATTCATTTAGCGCCCAGGTTTTCTGCGGATTGCTGTTTGCTCCAATTGAGCTTTAAAGAGCAGGCTTTTGCAGGGAAATCTCTGGAGGAAAGAAGAAGTGGGGGTCGATTTCTTACAAAAGCAGAACTGGTATTATATGGTACCTGGAACAGGGATAAGGCTGTAGGGAGAGAATTCGTTCTCTCAGATAAAACTCTCAAACTTTTTTCAAAGAGGGACAGATTTGATGAAGTGAAGGGCTGTGAGGGCCGACCAGAGTTGTTGAGCTTTCTTTAGGATTGAAGTTCTTAAGCTTTTTTTACAATTTTACCCCAAAGCTGTTGAACTTTTTAAAGGATTGAAGTTACTGAGCTTTTGGGGGGGGATTTTACCCCAGGGACATATCCTGCCACAGGGGCCAAATTAAATCGACCGGCGGGCCGGACTAGGCCCCCCAAACGGACTTTGGACATGCCTGCAGAGTAAGCCCATAACTTACGGCATCAACCGTGGCAACTTGCAATGACGACTTTTTAAAAAGATTAACAGGGTTTGGGGGAATATTAACCTCCCAGCTTTGGATTAATAGCAAAACGGAGATTTCGATCTAGGTTTGCAATCTCCTTCTGATAGGAGAGAAAGGAGGGGGGCGAAACACCACACTTTTTTTATAAAAAAAAATTAACTTTTTATTACAATTGCTTTCACTTGCTTTCCAGAACTGTAACTGCATTGGTTCATTGTACTCTTAAAAATAAAAATAAAAATATTCTGTATACTTATTTTTTATTATTATTAAAGATTTTGTTGATTTACAAAAGTGTGTGCAATGTCCCTCTCTCGTATTTCCCCCCCCCCCCATGTAACATTTTTACAAATCAGTTTCATTTCTTGAGACATTAGGAAGAAAAGGGGGAAAGAGGTAGAGTGAGGGAAAGATGAGTGCCCCAAAATCCAACTATTCTGGACAACAACCATACGAGAAATAAGTAAAATAACCAAGCAAGTATTAGAAAGCACCCTAGAATTGGCCTTAATAAACACCTTCCAAGACAATAATGACCACTTACACCACACATTTTAAATAGCAAAGACAACTGAGTAAAACCTTCCTACCAACGAAAAGAGACGGTGGAAGAAGAATGGAGAAAATTTAAAAGTTATCTTAAGGACTACTATAAACTTAATGAATGTTAAAATGTTGTGGTTTCCAGAAACAAAGGGGTACAGGGACATAAGGTTAGAAATATAAAAGAGGACTAAGATGACAGAGATTGGAAAGTAACAATTGGGAGTTGCTAGTTGAATTATGGACATTGGGATGCAGAGAGGGGGGGTATGGGGAAGTCCAAGAAAAGAGGTTTATGAAAATATGTTTGAAACTATATGTGTATGTTTGTCATTTTTAGTGTTTGTTTGTTTTTTTTAAAAAAATTTGTAAAACCAATAAAAATTTTATATATAAAAAAAAAACCTTCCTACATTTTACATGAAGCCTGGATAGCTCACTGGGTTAGATCGTAGTCCTGATAACACCAAGGTTGCAGGTTTGCCTACAGGTGGTACCTAACACCAAGGAAACTAGCGCTAATACACCCAGGAACCTCACCAAAATGCTGGAGAGGGTGCACCTCCACAGGCACATACTTCCACATGTGGTGGGAGTGTCCCAAAATCCAACTATTCTGGACAACAGCCATACAAGAAATTTGTAAAATAACTAAGCAAGTATTAGACATCACCCCAGAATTGGCCCTACTAAACATCTTCCAAGACAACAATGCCCATTTACACCACAAAGAACTCATAACCCACCTGCTCTCAGCAGCCAGAAACACCATAACCAGACACTGGAGAGACCTGTCAGGAGTAAGCATGGACCAATGGTACCAAATAGTATGGGAAACAGCCCTACTAGAAAAATTAACTAATAAACTGAAACTGACACGGGGACAAACAGAAGAAGACGCCTCCCCTTTATCACACACACAGCCCAACAGGA